CATGGGAGGTATTCCCCAACCAGTTAGTGCCACACAGAGTCCCTCCATATCCACGGCTGCACCACCATCAGGCAGGCCAGCAGGCAGTGCTCCAGAGTTGTTCTCGCTGGTTGCGAGCACTTCCCACAGTATGTGCACATTGGGTAGAGAATGCCATGTTGCTCCAGGTTCGTGTGTGCGACAATCCAGTCCCGGGTGGAAAGGCATCTGTGGAGAATCTGCCATTGGAGTGCCCGGTGGGTCATTGGCATGATCTTCGAGTATTGGGCCCACGACAAGTTGTGCAGATCATGTTGGCTCAGCGTAGAGTCTCTTGCCCATCATGTGGGCAATCACAGTAGTTCTTTTAAGAGCTCCAGACTATGGGCAGCTGAGCACAATCTCCGCTTGCCTGCTTGACACATCTCCTTCCTGCTTGCTTGATTGACGCATGTCTCCTTTCCGTTTGCTTGCTTGAAACATGTCTGAAAACAAAAAAAAGGTTAGAAAAGAGACCTGCAACCTTCCACTACGAAGCAAGACGTCTTGTCAGTACATCAAGTGAGCTGGGGCACAACAGGATGTATGGTGATGAGCTTAAGGCGTTATGTACTGCTTCCCAGCCTGGGTGGGCTGGAGAGGGGGTTGCTGTGGCAGGATATTTCCTCCATTGCGAAGCCCCAGCAATCTTCATAGGCGATAGTGTCAGTTGATTGATTGACAATCCCCTTGCTTTGCAGCTGTTTTCCATGCCCGTCCACCAATTTACATCTCTCTTACCTTGATATCCTTGCTTTCTGCCTTTTCTCCCCTCCATTCATCCTTCTGGGCTGTCACTTCCATTGTCATTACTATTTTAAAACGTACGGATTTTTCCTGAACCATCATGTTGGGCAGAACCTGAGCTGGAAAGGAACGAGTGAGAGGTGAAAATGGTTGATTCATTATACGGTCTAAGAGAAATCATTTTGGAAAAGAGGTTCTTGGAAGTTGTGATCAGTGGCCGAAGTTGAGAGACTGGAGGAACGCCAACAAGGCAGTTCCACAGGCTTAGGTTAATAGTTGATGAGACTGCACCCCGAATAGCATCATACTACGAGCAGGCTATAAAAACTTGTTGAGGCTACACCTCTTTACCCAAATAGTATTGAACTACGACCAGGCTAGAGGTTGAAGGCTTGCAAAGAAAGTTATAGCCTTTCTCAGTGGACCTCAAAAGGCCAGCGGCAGTGAAGGATTTCACAGTTGTCCTCCCTGCAGACCCCGGTCTCAGACCTGGTCCCATGTACCTATTCCCATGCTGCAAGGGCGGGCCAGGACCTGTAGGTCAACAGGCATTGTAGGAAGCTTCTTGTAGGTACCGGCCGGGTGATGAAAATCCAGTAAAAGTTCGTAGGCCCTCTTGCATCAATTCGTCCAGTCAGCAGCGAATTTCCCAGGAAGGTCAGGGAACTGCCAGAAGTGACAAAACATTGCTCACTGCACGGCGCAGGAAGTCCGGGAGTGAACAGTCGGATACGAAAGTCTAGACGTTCAGGTTGTCAATGCATAACCAGGCGGAAGCGCTGCTGCACTATTTTGGGAGGAAGTAGCCGTCAGCACCCAGTGCCATAGCTGTAGCCAGGTTAAGTAGGGGAGAGAGAGAGAGAGAGAGAGAGAGAGAGAGAGAGAGAGAGAGAGAGAGAGAGAGAGAGAGAGAGAGAGAGAGAGAGAGAGAGAACGTGAGGTTGGTAAACACAGAGGAGGGAGAGACCATTCCTGAGGGTGGCGTGGACTGGCTGGCAGCCATAGCCACCCTGCCTGTACGTACCTCAAAGACAATTTGATGTATTCTAATTGATTGGCAGCAACTATTTTTGAATCTGTATGTCACGTGTGCTTGGTGTGTGCACAACTCTGTGGGTGTGCACTGTGTTGTGCACTGTTGGTCTCATAGTGTTTATTTTCCGTGTCTAAGTGAGCACCTGTAAGAGGTGCCAAATAGACTTAGCAGTTGATTGGAGTCATGGGAACAAACAATGGGTGACAACAAACATTCATTAGCCCCAAGGGTGGTGGGAAGAGTTTGCAGGGTTGACTGTGGTGTGAGCAGGTTATGGACTGCCTTGGTCTGTGGTGATGTGTGGATTGGCTGGTCCACGCTCCTCCCCTGCTTTGCTGCCCATCTGCTTACCATGTATTTCCATGCAGCTTATGTATTTGCCATGTAGTTTGGCCCCCGTCTGCATTGCCTTGTGCATCACTGCGCCGATGCCTTGCTGCCCCATCCACCTGCCTGGTCTTTCCTTGCACCTTGCATGTTCACCATGTAATTTGGATGCCTTGGTGGTGCAGCCTTGTGCTTCACTCCTTTGTCGCCTGGCTGAGCACCAAATTGCCTTCTTTTTTTCATGCAGCTTGATTGTTCCTCATGTAGCGTGGCTGCTTAGATAGTGCTGCCTTGTGCTTCGCTGCATTGTTGCCTTGCTGTGCATCCACTTGCCTTCCCTTTTCACGTGGCATATCTTTTTCGGACTTTTTGCCCAGAATTTTCACTGTTTGCCAGCGGTGCTATGTGCCTTGCTCCACTGCTTTTCTGCTTGTGTTTCAACAGGGGCTTCAGCCTCCTGATGAGTGAATACACGTCCGATGAAACAGGATGCCGTCATTGTTGTTTCTTTCGGACTCCATTTTTTTCAGTCTTTCTAACTTGTGATATTTTTTGTCCCTTCCAACCTGTCGTCTCGTCTCTGCAGAGTTACCTGAGAATCGTCTTCCAGTCGTTGAGCATGGTTTTCTCCTCGGGTGTCAGCAGCCAGAGTACAACAGTGCTGTACTTGGAGATATCCATAACGTGTTTTCACACACCTCATCACACACACGCACACACCCACACAGCAACAGCGTCATATAAACTGCGACACCAGCAGACCATTTGAAATCCAGATACACAAGCATACTTCACACAAAGTCCCACATCACTCTCTCTCTCTCTCTCTCTCTCTCTCTCTCTCTCTCTCTCTCTCTCT